ATTACATGTCGGCAGTTTAGTTGGAAATTTTGGTATTCAAAAAATCATAACTTTAATAGATGATAGGTTTTACTAGCCCTCCCTCAAGCAAGACATTAATAGGATCCTAGTTTAATGTCTCACATGCCATACTGCTTAGGCAAAAAAAGAAATACAAGGTGGTATATGCCCTTACCAATCCTCGAGGCACCTTGGAAGGATATTAGTATAGACTTTGTATTAGGTTTGCCTAAGACAGTGTAAGGGCATGATTTGGTTCTAGCTGTCATCAATTATTTCTCAAAAATGGCTCACTTCGTACCATATAGCAAGACCACCGATGCCTCCCATCTCATGTAAAGTCCCTACTCAATTCAAACTTTACCATTCAACTCATACACAACACAATACAACATCAGAGTAAAGGCTCTCAAATTATTTTCAAAATATAGAATCCCGACATCATAAAACAAATGTTCAAATAAGAGGGGTAATAGAAGCATAAACATATAACTCAAGACTTAAAGAGGCACAAAAACTTTTCTATGATATGTGCCATGCACCGTGGCTTGTACCACCATGTTCCATAGCATGTGGTATAGAGTAACCTATTTTTGTTTATGCCATGAGCTACAGTGTGGCACACATTGCACCATGGTGCATATGACAGCAATTAATAACTTAGAAGACAAACTTTCACCATGCGTCATTTCCACAACTACCATTTCCACATAAAGCTTATAATGTAATCTATCTAATGAGATGAATTTGGACTCGATCCGAAGGTCCGATCTAAAATTAGACACCTAGATGCAAAAAGCTACTTTTCTTTTAAAAACTTACACCTTAAGTACTCAATTCTCATTCCTTATCCCATTAGACTACTTCAACCATTGAATCAAGTTTAAAAGGATAATATACATCTGACTAACACTTCTAATCACATATATCATATCAATTACTCAAATTGACCTCTCAATGCCACATTACACACTTGTAGACTTATATGAGGCACATTACATACAACACAAATACACATAAACATGTTTTACTTTTAACAATCTGACTCTTATATATGGGGCTCCACCTCACCATATGGTTAGAAATTACAATATACTTGACTCTTCTAAATAGGGCTCAGCCTTACCATTTGTGTCGAGATCTCACATACACACATAATCATCACATCAATTTACATATAAACAAGTAGAACAAGTTACATATGATATACAGTTGCTTGATTAGCATCTAGGCCTACCCACGTACCCATCACTAGGGTACCCTCAATGAGATGTAACATCATATATATGTACAAACAAGTTTTCAACCACAATTCATATACACATTCATATTCTCATATTCACATACACTTATATATCCTAGTTGGCAACTCAAATTTTAACTACAAATTTATACATTCATTCTTTATAATTAGTAGTCATACCACTACCAAGTGAGGCTACTCTTTCCTCGCTTCCTTTCCCGACCTTCTCATGCTCTCTTCACTTGTGTACAAAAGTAACAGAGACATACATCCCAATAACTCAAAAGTAACCCTAATTATTGATTAGTAAGCAAAATTATAAACAAGAAATAAAGCAACAAGTGTTTAGTAAAATAGTATAGTATGTATACACACAAATTCATAATCATTAATCTATAATACTTATACTCATGCATTTCTGGTTCCATCTTATGGAGCAATCTTTATGCTTAGACCAGAACTTTCGTCACATGGAATAGGGCCCACATACCTCTATTCAAACTAATTAATCCTTTTCACATATGGGTGGTCTCTTAAGTTCGTCGTGATAGAGTCAAGCTCTATGCTCAAGATCTTCAAGACTTCCTAACCTTACATAGAGTAAGACCATGACCCCGACCCTAGTCTAGGGTATGCTCGTGGATCATTATCCTAGGTCCATTGTGGAAAAGTCAAGCTCTACGCTCGAGATCATGAAGATCTCCTAAGTATGTCGTGGTGGACTCAACCTCTACGCTCTAGATTATCAGGACTTCCTAGACTTACTTGGAGTAAGGCTGTGTCCCACTACCATAATCTAAGGTATACTCGTGAATGCAATGCACATGTCTACATATGTCACTTTAAATTCATTTCATACATTACTCACATACCCACATGCATACTCTTTCACAATATTGCTACTCTATCAATTTATAACACAATGTACATAGTTATATAAAAAAATTGTAAACAATTTCACAAATGAATAAGTAAAAGGGTTACTCCAGATACCTTTAACCCTTACTACTAAGGGTTACTAATCACAGAGGACTTTGAAGGTGCAAATTCTCATGAGCAACTTCCCAAATGCTCAATCTACACAACATAATGTTCTCAAGTCAATTCTCAACACTTAATATAAGCATTGATTTAGCTAAACTAAATCCCTTAACACACTAACCAGTTCAATTAGACCCCTTTGAGTTCATAAGTCCACTGTCTATAGTCATTAGCCCTATAAACTACTCAAATGATCATAACAACCTCCTAACTCATTTATTCACCCAATTTCACCATTTTAAGCTAACTTTCTAGGTTAATTGAGCCTAAATCCTCAAACTTTAACCATTTAACTTTGAACTAGTCATAAAACTTTAGTTCCATATTTAATGGCCTTTTTAAGCATTTCCTTTAGATCTAACACCTTAAACCTTCCTGATTTGATTTATCAACAGATCAAATTCAATGAAAGTAGAATAGAAATGAATCTTAAGGCTGTATGATACTTACCTGACAAGTCACTAGTTGAAGAAAACTCTCGAGCTCTAAATATTTGATGCCTTAGCAGATATGAACTCCTCCCCTTTCTATTTATATTTTCTCTTCTTTCCTCTTCTAATTTCACACCTTTAGACTTAAATTTTAAGCAAAAATCTATACCATGTCCCGCGGCGTATGTAGCCTCCATCACAACACATGGCACAGTAAGAAAACTCTCACTGCTGCTCGAGCGTTTCTCCCTAAATTGTCATTCTACCCTTCAATCTTGTCAACATAACATCCAAATGACACAAAACATTAACTTAACATCTAAACCACAATCAATCTAATAACTATTAATTTACCCTTGATTGGAAACTAGTTTTTCTAAATTAAAACTCAGGATGTTACATCTCGCTAAGCTATTTTTTTTTAGAGATCATTCGTCTTCATCCACTTCTATAGTTTTGGATAGGGATGTCAAATTTGTTAGTTATGTTTAGAAGACCCTTTAGAAGCTCCTTCATATTCAATTAAAGTTCTCTTCTACCTTTCATCCTCAAATTGATGGTCAAACTGAAATCACTAATTGTAATTTAGGTGACTTGCTCAAGAGTCTAATCGGTAATAAACTGGGAAATTAGGATTTAGTATTTTTGATTGTAGAGTTTGCCTATAATAATTCAGTCAATCGATCCACTAGTAAGCATCCATTTTAAATTGTTCAAGGGTACAACCCCAAACAACCTATTAACCTCTTACCTATCTCTCTCATGACTTGTACATTTGAATCACCTAAACCTTTTACCCATCGCCTTCACAATCTTCATATTGAGATTAGTTGTAAGTTAGCAATGAGTCATTATGCATATAAATTAACTACCAATGCACAATATTGTTCTCAAGAATTTGATGTTAGAGACTATGCTATTGGTCGCATATGCCCAAAGTGTTACCTAAGAAATTCGCTTAAGAAGTTACATTTTAATGGTTCTAGCACTTTTCACATTTAAAAAAAACTAAGGCCTAATATTTATTTGTTAGATTCACCTCTAAATATGTCTATCAGTCGAGTATTTAATGTCGAAAATCTTGCTCCTTACAAGGTACTTTTAAGCCACCCTTTTTGCTCTCTATAGGTACACAACCCTACCATGCCCAAATTTCATCATTTCCTATTGTTACGCCATCTACCAACCCCATTGATACTGTCATGGATGAACAAATGATTATCACTCAAGTAGGTCCTGTCTAACAATACTATATCCTTTGAAAGGGTCATTTGGATTTATATGCCATGTGGATCACTACATAGGAGTTATGTACCATTGACTCCTCTTTGTTCAACAACTACTAACTATTTACCTCTCTGGTAGAGAGTTTTTCAACTGGGGGAAATGATGGGAACTATATTTGATTTGGTTTAGTGTTTATCAAGATTTGATTTAGTATTTAGGGATTGTTAGTATTTCTTTAGTATCTTAGATTTATTTTATCTTTAAGTATTATTTTAAATAAAATAAAATATCTAGACTAGCTAGATACCTTATCTTCTTTGAAATTATGATTTGATTTAGATTTAAATTTATTATTATTTTAATTAATTTTAGGGCTCTATAAATAGTCTTAAGTTTCTTCAATTGTATTTTGTTTTGCATCTAAATAAGAATTATACAGTTTTTCTCTCCATCTTTCTTTCTCTCTTCTCTCTCTTCCCCTTTCCTCTTTCCTATTTCATATCACTAATTAGGGTATATGAGACCTCAGAGATTTGAGAGTGTAGGAAGCCATGGTCCTAGAGTGAGTACTGTGATCTTTAGCTAGATCACACCTCACAATTGGTGAGCTTGAGTAGTCCAGTCACACGGACAGAGCCCTAATTGATATTCTAACTCACAGTTTTAATCAGAGAAAATAAGGAAGGTATAAGGATGGTTTAATCATGCATATGTATTTATTTGATGTGTCACATGGTTGTTAAGTTTGTAACAAGTTATGATAGTGAATGTGTATTTGTCACATGATTACCTGTATTGTGGCAATGTGTATGGAACTAATGAATTAGGTCATTGTCTCATGTTTGTATGTCTTATAGCAATGTACTATGTTGTTTGAGATGTGAAACATGAAAATGAATTAATTTGAGAAGTGATAGTTTGTGTTACATGTAATAGAATATTTTAGGTAACCAACCCTTTTTTTATGTGTTTAGATCAATAGATGTACAACTATATAGGATAAGTGTACCATGGTTACTAAGTGGCTAAACTTACCCTTCTATTTTAATATTTTACAGGTTCTAGCTCTGGTATGAAAAGGAAAAAAGCTCTAGAGGCTTAGGAATCTATGATTCCTACTATAAAGCCTCTTACCTAGATTCATTTTGTGTAATAGATAATATATTGCCAATTAGGATGCATTTTATTTACACTTGCACTATATTGTTAATGAATTGGAGATGTATTTTGGGCTTAGGAATGTTTTATGTAAATTGTTAAAAAATCAATAAGGCCAAAATACTAGTACAAGTGTAGAAACTATTATCATATTGTTGAATTTGATAATGATTGAATCATGCAGTGCTACAACCTCCCCCTTTTGTTCTTGTTATTAAAGGGGTTTAGGAGTAAAAATTTGATAGGGATGAGTATATGTGTATGTGGCGTGTTGTACAAGTAGTCCTAAGTCTTTAAAGTGTGTTCTAGGTGTTAGGAATTGCTTTTAGCATATGTATGGTGTTTTAGACACCCTAGAGTAATGAAAATTGAGAAAAGTTATGAAAATGTGTTTAGGCGTAGAACTTTCTTGTGTGTGACTTAATTTAGAAGTAAACCTTATGCCACTAGCTAATTTATAAAAAGAGCTTCCTATAGACACCTAGACTACCTTATTCTAACGTATGATGGAGAAAAGGGGAACATTAAAAGTTTCTTGAGTTTGTTGTCAAATGATAACAAAACTGCTATTTGAAAACATGTAACACATCACAGTGAATAGTGACTATGACATAACCCGTGGCACAGGAAAGGGGCAGCTGTAGAGCATGTGCACAAGCCATGATACATTCCTCTGTTTTTCATGTCTTGTAAATTTTCAACTATTTTTGAGTATTTTCACTCCTCCAAGGTATCCCATACTTTTGGAACATTTTTCTACTTTGATTTGAGGTTGATTAAATGATGTTTAAGTGATTTGTGATTTGTGAAAACTTGGGATTCCATTTCTACAAATTACAAACTTGGTAATCTAATTTAGGTTAATCTAAAGATTACTTTGGATTTAAGTGTTAATTGTGATTAAGTAAGGGGGATATTTCATGAAACACTTATAGAAAACTTATCAATTCAAGAAAATACTATAGGCATATGATTTTGGTCTTTTGAAGTAGTCTTAGCAGTGGTTATGTCTTGATCTAGTCTTTCTACCTTTTGCTTTAGCTCTTTAATGTACTTTATTGCATCCAATGTGATTGTCGTTTTATCTATCTTGATAATCTCACTATTTCATTGAAAGGTGATGTGAAAAGGTACATAAAGTATAGAAAAAAGGCTATCTTGATACATTGATTGGATTGTTTTCTCTTTTTTGCTATCTGGGAAGGCTATTTAATTCTAGTATTTATCAATAAAAAGACATGGCTTAATAAGTAATTCAGATTGGTGGCTAGTTCATTTTGGTGATATCTGAATGGGTTATGCCTTTTTCAGTGAAATATAGGATTCTTAGTTCTGATTGATTGATGTACGATTGCATGAATGCTCATTTTAAATCATTATGCAATAAATCTTGATTCTTTATAGAGTAGATAACTAAATCATTTTCCTGAACAATGTCCTTTTAAAGATATGCCTCCATGATATGGTCAAAACTGTGAAACTATGGTGAAGGTTGATAAGATTATTGCTAGAGATGTTTGCTTGCCTTTAAGCAGTGTATTATATAACTAGAGATGTTTATGTGCATAAAAAGTAGCCACTTTATGGAGTGAATGAAAAAACCCTGCTTCTTAAGTATATTTGAGAGTGAGAGAGAGAGAGAGAGAGGAAAATCTTTTAAGCAAATAGGCTAGTTTATTTGACAACATTCAAGTGGTAGCTGCTTTTATAATTATAAACCATATATGCTATGTTTAAGTTATGCTAAGCATGATGAATCGAGGATTATGGAAAACCTTAATAACACAATATTCTAGTTATAAGTGTTCAAGGATTATGGAAAAACTACTAGTTAAGGTCCTTAGTGTTTTCTCTCATTAAATCAATATAAACTACTAGTTAAGCTATCTAAATTTGTTCTTTGGCTTTAATCCCTTGTTTGCTATTAGAGATAGCTACTTTTATCATACTGTCTACCACCCAAACTCAAGTAGAAGAAACCATAAAGGCTCACACATACAATTTACAACCATCAATAATGCAAGTAATAGCAAGCCTCTAACCAATAATTTGATCACAACATATTTAAAAACCCATAAAGTAGAAAAAAACAAAAATCACATCCCCAATTTATAAGGTTTTTGTGAACTAGCCACACTCCCAAATTTTCAAAAATTTGGTCTATGTTTTATAAGCAATACATATATTCCAACTAGTAAGCCAATTTATCCTAACTCTAAATAGCTATATTCCATCATTTCACCCTTGCTTAAACAATTCTCATGAAGATGTATTAATTTATAGCTTCCGACAAGTGCTAGTATGTGTTTAGGGTGCATGTTGCATAAAGCCCACATGAAAGAGAGAATTTCTAATGTGTGGAACTTATTGCTTATAAATCCCAAGTGCAGAAGCCTTGCTAACTAAGAAAATTGTAACTAAAAACATATAAATGATATCAATTAACAATAACAATAAAAATAACAATTAAATTATATATTAATGATAACAATAACAGTTAAATTATATGCTAATGATAAGAAAGGGTCCTTTTCTAATCAATTAACCATATAGTATTTTAAACATTGAATTGCTTGATGAATTGACAAGAAAACCTTTCATAATGTAAATATTCTCATATTTAAATCTTGATTGAATTATTTTACTTAAGAAATTATATTAAATTAATTAGGTGAAATATAATTGTTTACATAACAAATTTTATTTTTTGACCCAAGCCAAAATAGGCCAAAAAGCTTTTAGAATGGAAGAGTTTAATATAAGAAAAATAACATAGATAAGTAGACATCCAAGTCTCATCCTCGATTGTTGCATTACTATTTGGAACCTATCTAAAACCAACTACAAAATGGTGATAATTCATATATCTTACCCAATTTTACCTCTTATCTTAGCTTTTTTAGTGCTTGTTTTGATATAATTTGGAATAAATGGGAAATATTTGTGGTAAAAGGGCAAATAATTATTTTTAGGGAATTTTGAGCCTAATGAGAAAGTGTGCATATTAGGGATATTTGTCATTTTTCATTTTGTTGGGAATTCAAGAGAAAATTAGAAATTTTATGTGTGCATTAGCTTTAGGACCATTTCTATATGTTAAGAGTCTCCATATGCATTGATATCACATTCTTAATGCAATTTTACCTAAGTGTTCAAATACATGCAGTAAGGGGTAATTTGGTTATAAAATCCACTTTTTCACCAAATTAGGATTAGTCTAGAGGTTTATGTCTTTTAATGAGATAATATGATTAATCTAATTAGTTTTTATTGATTCATCCTAGGTTAAAAGTTATTAGGAAAAGACAACATTATAAGATTGTCTCTCTTTATTTTGGTTCAAGTGTGTGCTTGTTTACACTTGTGTCTTGTGAGACTCTTTTACTTTAGTTATTTTAATACCTTGGATAAATTAAATATTTTTTATCTTAGTCTAATTAAATAATTGTCACACTATAATTGTTTGATAATTTGATTTAATTGTGATTTAGGTGAATAAGTGTGATAAATAAAGACATAACTCAAAGTGACACTTTGTATGGAAGAGGCTTTAGTTTAAGACTTTGTTTGGCACATAGGGGAGCTAAGGAGCATGAAATTTTGAACTTGAATGGGCTTCAAAATGGTGTGATTTATTAAGACTAATGAGACACATAAGAGGTTTACCATACACATACACACAAGGGATCAAGTTGACTTGTCAAAGCTCAAGATAACTACAATGTGTTTGAAAAGCTTGGAAGCAAATTTCATATCTGAATTTGAATGGCATTAGAAGTGAATTTCAAGGAAATTAAGGGAACATAAAGTTTATCGTGTCCATGCGCATATGAGATTAGACAAGCAACATAGGAATTATCACCCAAGTTGATTTGCAACCTAGACTACCCTAAATCTCACTTGACCTAATGACTTGTGTTTAGTTTTTTGGAAACTTGTTTAGCAAGTAGACCACCACAATTTCTTTCCAAACACTTCTTAGCTAGCTTAGGATCAGTTTTTTAGATCATTCATTCATATTTTCATATTTCAAACTTCAAGTTCATCAAATCCTCTCACTTATCTCTCTACACTTTCACTCTCTCTCCTTTATATCTCTCAATCTAACCATCCAAAATTTCACAAAACCACCACCATTCTCTTCCTCTTTTCTTCCTCCACATAACCTAATAGCTTTTTCAAGGATCAAATTAAGCTTTCTTTAGGCGAAATCATGGTGAAGAAGACCATAATGTTGGGGCTTCATCTTGTTTATCACTTGAAGATGTAAGGCTACATTCTTGAAGGAGTTACTATGTGGAGAAGGAAACCTTAAGTTTTTATTATTTTCTTATTAAATTTGAATTTATTCTCTCTACTTCTCTCTCTCTAGAATCATGAATTTGTATGACTCTTTAATCTTGTAATCTCAAGTGATGATTCATTTGATTGAGTAAAACTTGTTGCAACTTGAGTTTTGTTATTTCTAGTGCATAATTTTGGCCTCTTTTAGTTGTATCATAATCTTGATATAGCTTAATGAATTTAACTTATTTTCTTGTATGTCATAATCTTGCCAACTTGAATGCATGTGAATATCTTTATGAATCATAATCCTAAGCATGTTGATTCCTTCATATGTGCTTGACCTAATTGACTCATGTTTGTAACACTTTGGTTAGGCTTAATGCTAGATTTGCTTTGGCTCACTCTAGACCATAATATTAGATTGGGGTTGGTTAAGGTATTAGCTACGTCTTGGTTAATATAACTAAGTCACTAAGCCTAAAGAGAAGAGAAAAGAAACCAAACTAGCTAAGTTGTAATCAAACAAGGATAGATGACCAATTCCACATATGAGTTCTTACTTCTAACAGGTTTACACACATGGTTGATTAGCTTAATTAGTTTTAAGCCTAATTCTATCCAAATCACCTTTAACTTGTAGAACACTTCAAACTTAATTTTTTTAACTAAGCCTTCTCATAGAGATCAACCAAGGTTAAAACTAATACTATATTAGTGTAGCTTAGTATTATTTTACTAGGGTAGCGACAACCTTAGTTTAACTAGAGAGAGAAAAGTAGAGAGAAGAAATTCAAATTCAACTAGAAAATAGTACAAACTCAAGGTTTCCTTCTCCACATAGTAACTCCTTCAAGAATGTAGCCTTGCATCTTTAAATGATGAATAAGACGAAGCCCCAACATTGTGG